ACTCTGGTCTGTAGGTTTAGCCAAAACTTTTGGGAATTGAAATTAGTAAACGAACAAATAAAATGTTTATCATCAGGAAAATGAAGACAAGGATATAGAGAAATATTTATCTGGGTCGTTATGACAACGGAACAAGCCATCACGACAACATTCTTTCTTTTCCATCTGTCAAACTGTGGCTTGACGGAGGCCTTAGAAACACTCAATGTCCACCCCAAAGATGAAACACAGCAAACATGTTATTCTAAATTGGATAGATTTTTGGCTCAACTTAAAACCCTTTTCTAACCCACACAATGTTTGCCATGACTCCCTGTAATGGGGAGACTCACAGCAATGATAAGTAAACAGACTGTGTTTGTGGGGGCAGAGGGCTGGAAGTGGTGATGACAGACCCTGAACAGGCGAAGGTCCCCTCTGGGATGTCACAGGGCAGCTCACTGAGTTTGTGACATGTCCTGTTCTCATGCCCTGCCCTGTGGTCTCACTGAGGGGGGCTCCTGATGGGAAATGACGGAGTAAGGAGGCGCTCTCCCACTCTCAGCCCCATGGGCTGGGAACCTGCGCCAGGCAGTGTGGGAGAGACCAGCTGAAATGCGAGCTGTGGACCTTCCTCATGCACTTTTCCTGCTAGGACAACTTGCAGCCAGCCAGTAGTGACCTTGTTTGTCATTGCATGCACGGCCCAGGAACCCTTCCATTCTTTTTGGCTCCTTTCAGCTAAATCAGACAGATCCAGGTAGAAACAGATCCTTCCACCTGAACCACGGAGTCAGGGAATTCCAGCATTGAGGGGAACTTTAGAGGCCACTCACTGGGATCAGGAGGGAGGAAAGAAGGGCCCAGAGGAGAAAAGGAGATCTGTCAGTGACAGTCTGACCTGACCGCGGAGCAGAGGGACCCTAGGGCCTGTCCTAGAGCCTGTCCTCACACAGCTCTGTAGAGGGCCCCCGGCACGGGAGCCCAGCTCAGCTCCACTGTCTTTTCCAACACCAGGAAGTGCCCTTACTGCCTGTCTCCTGGAGCAAAGTGACTGGACTTCTGCCGGCCTTCTGGTTGCCCGGTAACAGGCCTATCTGACAGGGCTGTGGAGAGCAGGATCCCGTGGCTGACTCGGCAGCAGCTGGGCGGAGAGACACTCCACGTTCATCGCTGCTGCTGTTCTCACTCTTTGTTTTCTTCTCTTCTCGTCTCAGTTCTTCAGGACTTTATGTATTTATTTTCCTACCTTATAGTTCTGCATAAAACTAGTGCAGGATGGAAAGATAACTTATCGGCAAGAGAGAGAGCAAGGTGAGCCACTTATAACAGGGAAAGCACAGGTTGCCTTCAGGGAAATAGAGGCTTCTGGAGCCACTGAAAGTCAGAGCCTCTTGGGGCCTGAGCTCAGAGAGCCCCTGTGTCTCAGAAATGAGAAGACCTAGGGGCAATGGCTAAGGATGGTCAGGGTCCTCCCTATGCTGGAAAACCTTCCTGTGTGCTAAGAGGGATGTACATATCTGATGAAAGCTACAAAGGGTCTTAAGCTTCATTTAAGAGTATTTCTTGGGCGGCACCTGTGGCTCAGTGGGTAGGGTGCTGGCCCAATATACCAAGGCTGGTGAGTTTGGCTTGGGCCAAACTCCAACAAAAAATAGCCGGGCATTGTGGTGGGCACCTGTAGTCTGAGGCAAGAGAATCACCTAAGCCCAGGAGTTGGAGGTTGCTGTGAGCTGTGTGATAAGCCCAGGAGTTGGAGGTTGCTGTGAGCTGTGTGATGCCATGGCACTCTACCATGGGCAATAAAGTGAGACCGTCTCTACAAAAAAAAAAAAAAAAATGAGTATTTCTCTCTCTCTCACACACACATACACACAATGACAATACTTTGGCTTTGGCTTCGAGGAGGGCACCAAAATTAAATTATCTACCTTCTGGCTGGCTCCTCTTCCCCTACAAAAGCCCCATCTCCACAGGGCCTGACATCTGGCAGCTGATGCAAGAGAAAACCCCTGATGGCACCGTGTGTCTGCAGTGAGAGCTGCTTGCTACAGCCACAGCTGGCGTCTGACCTTTTCATGGCATGCGCTGTTTGAAAGGACTAAATTAAGTCTCTAAGGGCAGAATGCCAGGCACCATGGAAGGTGGGGTGAGGGTAGAAATTCCAAAAATCCTTCCTTCAGATGATGACAGTGACTTCTCTCCTCCTTCAAGGGGCCCCAGAGCAGGGCAGGGAGCCGGGTGGGAACCAGCCAGGCCCAGAGACCTGGGGCAGGGCAATGCCCAGCTGTTGGGACCCACTCAGTTTTCCTTTGTCTCTGTGACAGCAGTTTTTTGGGAGGGGCTGTCCCAGCATCCAACCTGTGAACCCAGGAATCTGTCCAGGAGAAAGGCAGCGGCGGCTAAGTCCTCTCCCAGACATCTCAGCAGAGAGTATCTCCAGGTTTCTGCCCCTTGCTGCCCTTCAGAGATGTGTTTGTCTGAGATAAGGCTCACTCTTCTCTTTTGTTCCCATCTTTTCTTTCATAGTTCTTTGTGTTTTTATTTTTCAATTTTTTAAAAAGCCTAGCTACCTTTTGTTGAAGTTGTCATTATTGTTTAACTGGCCCAGGTGGGTTCAAACCTGCCTTCCTTGGTGTATGTGGCTGGCACTGTAACCACTGTACTATGGGCGCTGAGCTTCTTTCATAGTTCTTTTTTTTTTTTTCCTGAGACAGAGTCTCACTATGTCGCCCTGGGTAGAGTGCTGTGGTGTCACAGTTCACAGCAACCTCAGACTCTTGGCTCAAGCGATTCTCTTGCCTCAGCCTCCCAATAGCTGGGACTACAGGTGACCGCCACAACACCCGGCTATTTTTTGGTTGCAGTTGTCATTGTTGTTTGGATTCGAATCCAGCTCCATTGCATGTGGCTGGTGCCCTAGCTGCTGAGCCACAGGCACCGAGCCTCTTTCATAGTTCTTGATCAGAAACATAGTCTATACTTTCTGTTCTTTTCTCCAGGGGAAGCCTGGGGGAGGCTAGGCTACCGCTCATCTCTAGTCATGCTCCTCTCTCAGGCTGGGCCCTCCTCTAGTCTAATGTCTTCACTCTAGAAGCAAGCTCCCCAGGGACTGTTTGTCCCCACTCCACTTCTGATAGGCGCTAAGTTACTTTTTTCTTTTTTTTGAGACAGTATCTCACTTGGTCATACAGTCTGGAGTGCTGTGGCATCAGCTTAGCTCACGGCAACCTCAAACTCCTGGGTTTAAGCAATCCTCCTGCTTCAGCCTCCCAGGTATCTGGGACTACAGGGGTGGGCCATGACATGACATCTGGCTAATTTTTCTTTCTTTTTTTTTTTTTGGAAACATAGTCTTACTATGTCTTCCTTGGTAGAATGCCTTTGCATCACAGCTCACAGCAACCTCTAACTCTTGTGCTTAAGTAATTCTCTTGCCTTAGCCTCCCAAGTAGCGGGACTACAGGTGCCCACCACAACGCCAGGCTATTTTTTTGTTATTGTTGTCATTGTTGTTTGGCAGGCCAGAGCCAGGTTTGAGCCTGCCTGCCAGCCCCGGTGTATGTGGTGGTGCCCTAGCAGCTGAGCTACAGGTGCTGAGCCTAATTTTTCTATTTTTAGTAGAGACAGGGTCTGATTCTTGCTCAGGCTGGTCTCAAACTCCTGACCTCAAGAGATCCTCCTGCCTTGGTCTACCAAAGTGCTAGGATTATAGGCATGAGCCACTCTGCTGGCCTAGGGTTTACTTCTTTACTTTCTTTCTTTTTTTTTTTTTGAGACGGAGCCTCAAGCTATCCCACTGGGTAGAATGCCATGGCATCACAACTCACAGCAACCTCCAACTCTTGGGCTCAAGCGAGTCTCCTGCCTCAGCCTCCCAAGTAGCTGGGACTACAGGCGCCCGCCACAACGCCTGGCCATTTTTTGGTTGCAGCCATCATTGTTGTTTGGCGGGCCCGGGCTGGGGATTCGAACCCGCCACCTTAGGTGTATGTGGCTGGCGCCTTAGCCGCTTGAGCCACAGGCACCGAGCCACTTCTTTACTTTCATTTCTAGCCTAGGCCTCTCTCAAATCCATTGCTTCCCTCTACCCCAAATCCAAGCCTGAGAATTCTGCCTCAAGGGGCTGGAGAGAATAGGGGACTGAGTCTTGCTTCCAAAGGATGAAGACAGGGACTATAAAGCTGATGAAATCTGATCCTGGTCCCTGAAGGGTTATTACTCATTCTGGGCTTCCAAGGCCTCAACCTTGAGAACTCCCTGTCTGAATTCCCCAGTGCCCTGCAGCTTGGAGAGCTGCCCAGTGCCCGGCACCAGCTGCAGCTTACAGGCAGGGCCTGCTTCCTGAGCTGACAAAGCATACCAGGAGCACAATAACCACGACACTAAAAGTGAACAGCTGAGTAAAAACCAGGGTGGGAGCAGCCTGGGAAAGGCCCAATGGCTGCTGGCCAAAGAGGAGCATCATAAAGGTGGCCAGATGCGCAGGGGGATGGCAGGAGGAGCGGGCTAGATGGCCCCTTCCCGCCACGCCTCCTGGTAAATCCCATGTTGATACATCTTGTCCTTTCCATTCTTCTCTCCCCCTTTTCTCTTTCTCCTTTTGTTTTCCATAGTTGAGAGCCCTATTTCCTCTCTAAACCACAGTGATTCAGTTTTTTTTTTTTGTTTCTGGCATCGCAACTTTCCAGATGGAACTTCTCAGGTGGCCTCATCTGCTTTTCCCGGTTGGCTGGCCTCACATATCGGCCCTTCCCAGAGCTGCAGCTGCCCCTTACGCTTCTGTGCTCTTAGTTCCAAAGCGAAAAAGGCTCTGATTCAGTATTTTGAAATGATGAAAATGCAGGTAATTCTTCTTTTTAACAAGTTCACAATTAACCCAAATCATCCCTAACTGAATTTCCTTCCGGATCTTCTTTGAGGAGTGAGGTAGAGTTTGCAAATCACTGCGTGTGACCCCTGGGACGTGGGTGGCATCCTACTGGGCAGTAAGCATGTGTGTGTGATTATATGGGACTTACTGTCTTTAGGACAAGGGCTGTGCCCTCGAGCATGACCCTGTAGCCTTCCCTAAACTTGCCTCCGTCCACTCTTACCAGCTCCTCTTCCTCCTTCACCTTCCTCTCTGCTCTAGCCATGGTAAGCCACTCTGCAGTTCCTGAAGGTGATGTGCTCAGCCTCCACGTCCTCACCTCCGCCCAGAACGTGCTTACCACTTGCTCCGAGTCTTGGCACCAGGAACCTGACCTCCTTCAGGCCCCCAAACTCACTGCCTCCCCTCCCTTTATAACACTGTCCTATATAGTCTGTTTACTTCTGTTTTCCCCACTGGGCAGAGAACTTCTGAGGACAGGTCTGCATCTTTAATCTGTTTCCCTACCACATAGCAGGGTGCCTGGCACAGAGCAACAGAGTGGAAAGTGGGCCGGAGAGTCAGACTAGAGCACAGTGGAGCAGGCCGATCTCGCTTCCCACCCGTGGCACACTTTGCAGACTCCCAGCCTGGCCTGTCCCAAAAGCTAATCTTTACTCCTAGGCAATCACCTGCTCTACAGCCTGCAGAGAGTCCAAGACTGACTGTTCAAACACTTCAGTGGAAGTAGCCAAGCTGGTACCTGAGCTTGTCTGCAATGAAGATGACCCTCCTTTCCAGAAGCAGGGATGCAAAAACACAGACCAGGTGGCGCACGCTGAGAGAGGAGAAGAGGGACTCAAAGTCCACGTGTTCCAGCCGGGAGTCCAGTGGGCGGCACAGTTCAATCACCTGCCGGGGAATGGGAGCAGCCGTGAGGTGGGGGCCTGCCCTGGCCCTCTGAGGTCCTCAGTGAGGGCGACCCAGTGGCAGGGGAAAAGGGAAAGAAAAGAAGGAAAACACAAGGAGGCTGAGGAAGGAGGTGAGCTTGGAAGGGAAGCAAGCATCTCACACTGAGGATGGTTTGGATGGAAAGGAGGCAGCCAGAATCAATGACCAAAAGGTTGTGCCCTGCAACAGAGAGTTGGACCCCCACAGAGAGTTCTGTGCCTGCTGAAAATGGTCCTATCCCTTAAGGTCCCAGTGGAAGCACCCTGTGTCTCACGCGGGCCTGTTACCTGCGGGAGCAAAATCACAGGCCCCTGCAGAAAGGCCAGCCAGTCTGAGCAGCACTTCTGAGACTTGCCTTCTTGGGAAGGCATTTCATAGTGAGCCCTGCATCACTCCAGCGTGATCTGATGCTGTCTTTTCAGCATCAGGTGAAAAGAGGTGTGTACACCTCCTTATTCTGTGCTCGCCAAAATGTTCCTGAATTCACCTCATGTTGGTACCCATGTGCACATTTTCTTTCTTTCTCTCTCTCTCTCTTTTTTTTTTTTTTTTGCAGTTTTTGTCCAGGGCTGGGTTTGAACCCACCATCTCCGGCATATGGGACCAGTGTCCCATCCTTTTCTTTTTTTGAGACAGAGCCTCAAGCTGTCGACCTCTAGGTGGAGTGCTGTGGCATCACAGCTCACAGCAACCTCCAACTCCTGGGCTCAAGCGAGTCCCCTGCCTCAGTCTCCCAAGTAGCTGGGACCACAGGTGCCCACCACAACGCCCGGCTATTTTTTGGTTGCAGCCATCATTGTTGTTTGGTGGGCCTGGGCTGGATTCGAACCTGCCACCTTAGGTGTATGTGGCTGGCGCCTTAGTCACTTGAGCCACAGGCACCAAGCCCGCCCCACCCTTTTGAGCCACGGGTGCCACCCCACATTTTTTCTCTTTAAATAGCTGCGTCCTTCACAGTGAGCAGAGGCTAAATTCAATCCCAGCACAGCACCTGCTCTGTGCTGTCCCCATAGGGGGATTTCTCACCCTTAACCTCTTGGCTACATTCTCTGGTCAAGCCATCTCCATCTGGTATGGGATAGTTTTGGTTTCTCAAAACAGGGACACTGCTGCTCTCTGTGCTGGGCAATCTCGTTGTTCCAGATTATCCCAGACCCATCCTTATCCCTTTTCTGTCTGTCTCCAGAGGAGCCCTACTTTTATGAAAGTCTCTAGAACTAGGGACTCAGGGATGAATGGGATTTGTCTTCTCATCTCCACTGAGCCACATAAAGGGAGTAGGAAGGATAGAAACAAACTTCTTTTTTTTTGAGACAGAGCCTCAAGCTGTCGCCCTGGGTAGAGTGCTGTGGCATCATAGCTCACAGCAACCTCCAACTCCTGGGCTCAAGTGAGTCTCCTGCCCCCGCCTCCCAAGTAGCTGGGATTATGGGCACCCACCACAATGCCTGGCTATTTTTTTGTTGCAGCCATCATTGTTTGGTGGGCCTGGGCTGGATTCAAACTTGCCAGCCCAGGTGTATGTGGCTGGTACCTTAGTTGCTTAAGCCACAGGCACCGAGCCAGAAACAAATGTCTTCATTAAACACAAGCTGGCCAAGGAAGGGACGTGTTTCAAAGTCTAAGATGAATGAAAAGAAAGTAGTATCTGAACTCATCTTCCCTAAGACGACTTTTTTTTTTTTTGAGGTAGAGTCTTACTTTGTCACCCTTGGTAGAATGCCATGGCATCCTAGCTCACAGCAACCTCAAACTCTTGGGCTCAAGTGATTCTCTTGCCTCAGGCCCCCTTCACCCCAGTAGCTGAGACTACAGGCAATGCCCAATATTATTTTAGAGATAGGGTCTCGCTCTGGCTCAGGTTGGTCTCGAACCTGTGAATTCAGTCAATCCACCTGCCTCCTCCTCCTAGAGTGCTAGGATTGCAGGTGTGAGCCACTATGCTCGGCCTTTTTTTTTTTAAAGACAGAGTCTCCCCTATTGCCCAGGCTAGAGTACCAGGGTGTCAGCCTAGCTCACAGCAACCTCAAACTCCTGGGTTCATGTGATCCTCCTACTTTCGCCTCTCAAGTAGCTGGGATCCACCCACCCGTATAGATGCCCACTACGATGCCTGGCTAATCTTTCCATTTTTAGTAGAGATGGGTCTCACTCTTACTCAAGTTGGTATTGAACTCCTAAGCTCAAGAGATCCTTCTGACTCGAACTCCCAAAGTGACAGGTTTATAGGCACGTGCCTAGCCATAAGACTCTGTTTTACATTATAAAGTTATAGAGGTGATACAGACCCAAAATGTAAATAGTTTCAAACAAATTTATGAGTGACAATGGGCTGCTTAGAGAAGCTTGTAGTATTCGGTGCGTGATGCACGTCCCTAGTGTGGAGTTAACATTGCGAATAGAAGCACCCTGGCTGCCATGCAGAGTCCTTGGCTTGCTCTCTGGGTCAGAAGCCTGGGCCGGAGGGCCTGGACTGAAGGTGGGACTTAGGATGAGTGATCTGGATGGCTGAGGAGGCAAGAGGACACCACTGAATTCCATGGCACTGAAAGCTAGCCTCTCCCTTAGGACTTGGGACATCTCAGCAGCTCCCTCCCCAGGAGAAAGAGGAAGCTGGCAGCTTACCTCTGTTCCTGAGCCTGGCAAGAAGTTCTTGACGAGGATGGTTTTGCCAAGGGCTGGGAAAGGGGCTTCCATGACACTCCTCATGAGGGGCTGCACCAGGGCAGGAGAGATGCCTCGTCTTTTTTCTACCTCATCCAAGATCTGCAAGGGTCAGAAAGGCAGCTCAGCTATTCTGAAGTCAGGACACCAAGGCATAGCTCAGTTCTAGATGAAATGGGCCTGTCAGTGACTGGAGAATTACGTGGAAGCCCAGCAGCCCTCCTCCCTGACCTTGGGCATTGTTGGTCCCAATCCTCTTCCCCTGTGTGTCCACTGCTTTTGAAGCTCCTCCCACCAAAGGCTGAAGGTCTCTGTACCTTTGACTTCGTGTTTGGCTGTTTGACTTACTGGGCTAAGACAGCATTCGCCATGGTGGCAGAATTGCCCCAAGGGGGTGAAAAGACTCAGATATTATAATAGTTTGTAGCCCCCTAATGCATGTTTATCTGTGGGATTAAAATTTCATTGGGCTAGGGGTGGGGAGACATTAGGAAAATGCAAATCAAAACTGGGAGATGCCACTTTACACCCATTAGGATGACTAATAAACAGAGGAACGAGCGTTGGCAAGGAGGTGAGGAAACGCGAACCCTCAGACACCGAGGTAGGGATGTCAACGGTGAAGCTGCTCTGGAAAGCAACCAGGCAGCTCCTCAAAGGGCACCGCAGGATGCAGCACATACCACCCCTCGGTGTCTACTGGAGGACAGGACAAAATCTCTAAAACTAAGTAGAGAATAAGACTCTAGGGGGGCGGTGCCTGTGGCTCAAAGAAGTAGGGCGCTGACCCCATATGCTGGAGGTGGTGGGTTCAAGCCCAGCCTCCGGCCAAAAACTGCAAAAAATAAAAAACCAAAAACCAAAAAAGACTCTAAAAATCCCAGGAAATGGGGTGCTCCCTCGGTCTTTCTAGGGCCCTCTTTCCTTCCCTTCCTCCTTTCTCTGAGGTCTACGTTCTCACCTTTGAAAAGAGGCTGAAGCATCCCAGGCGGCTCACGATGCAGTACACTTCAGGGAGGCGCCTCCCTTTGCCTCCAGGCTTTTTGGAGAGAAACACAAGGAAATTATGAATGTTTAGCAATCTGAGGAAATGAAAAGAACCCAGATGTTTCTGAGAGGGTGTTATGTGCCAGATATTTCCACATATTGTAGCTTTTGAAAACTCAAGGAGTGTCAAGTATTCCCTTTACACTTGGGAAGCACTGCAAGTGATGTGATATATCACGTTTTATTCTTCCAAGGGACCTCAAATCTCAGCAGGTGTCCAGTTTGGCCTATTGAACCATAAAGTAAGGATGCTTGACTTGTTGACCAAATCACTATAGTCCCTCCCAAAGGGTTGTGTTGAGACTGTATGTTTACTACAATAATTACAGAGATGAATCATTTCTGAAGATCTTTCTGAAACCTGACATTTTTTTTTTTTGTTTGTTTTTTGAGACAGAGCCTCAAGCTGTTGCCCTGGGTAGAGTGCTGTGGCATCATAGCTTACAGCAACCTCCAACTCCTGGGCTCAAGCCATTCTCCTGCCTCTGCCTGCCAAGTAGCTGAGACTACAGGCACTTGCCACAATGCCCAGCTATTTTTTGGTTGTAGCCATCACTGTTGTTTGGCAGACCCGGGCTGGATTTGAACCCGCCAGCCTTGGTATATGTGGCTGGTGCCCTGCCCACTAAGCTACGGGCGCCACCCAAGCAAGTATTTCTTGTCATTTATAGTTTTTTAATCTATTTCTGAAACCCAACTATACTCTCAGGGGAAAAAGATCTGGCAAAAGAATGGGTCTTAAAATGATAAGTTCTAAAATGCTTTAGCATGATCCTTTCCTTGGAATAAGTTTCTGATTTTTAAAAGTGACTGTTCTAGGCTTGGCACCTATAGTTCAGTGGTCAGGGTACCAGCCACCCACATTGGGGCTGATGGGTTTGAGCCTAGCCTGGGCCTGCTAAACAACAATGACAACTACAACAACAAAAATAGCCAGGCATTGCGGTGGCCGCCTGTAATCCCAGCCACTTGGGAGGCTGAGGCAAGAGAATCGCTTAAGCCCAAGAGTTTGAGGTTGCTGTGAGCTATGACTATGACACCACAGCACTCTACCAAGGGTGACATACTGAGACTCTGTCTCAAAAAAAAAAAAAAGTGACTATTCTAAAGGGGATATTCTTGAATTATTTGAGTCTTCTCTCTTTAGCAACCATTCTGAATGCTCTGGGATCAGGATCCGTTTTTTTAGAAAGAACATTTGGTTTAAGGAAAGAAATGCTTTTTATTTGGTAGGAAAAACAATGGAGAAAGTATTTCTTTTTGACAGAAACAGACACTATTTCCACCTGCCAATAAGCCTCAGGTAAGCCCCTAGCCTTTCCCCATGTTTCTGACTACACTGGTTAACCCACCACTCCTCCTGTTTCTTCTCCCGTGGCACATGGTGGAGCTCAGTCTCACAGGACTAAGCAGCCAGACCTGGCTATCTTCCCGCTCTGGCTGACTGGAAAGTGATGTACTCACCAGTAGTCTTCGGCAGTAACCGAACCTTCTGCTCCCATCCTCTCCAGTTAAGACAAATGAGAATGTTTCGCTGGTTGGAAAACACAAAGGCATTACAAAGCAAAACAAGGGACAGATCCTGGCTCGTGCAGTGAGCAAGCAGGGAACATGCCAGACGAGTCTGTCAATAGGAATGTCCTACTTGTCTCCCTCTGTGTGGAGACACCACCTCTCTACTGGTTCCCTGTAGCTTCAGGGTGAATGTCAGGGTGGCAGAGATCTAAAATGTCCTTTGAGGCTCGGCGCCTATAGCTCAAGCGGCTAGGGTGTCAGCCACCTACACTGGAGCTGGTGGGTTCAAATCCAGCCTGGGCCCACCAAACAACAATGACATCTACAACCAAAAAATAGCCAGACATTGTGGGTGCCTGTAGTCCCAACTACTTGGGAGGCTGAGGCAAGAGAATCGCTGAAGCCCAAGACTTGGAGGTTGCTGTGAGTTGTGATGCCACAGCACTCTACCCAGGGTGATAGCTTGAGACACTATCTCAAAAATAAATAAATAAATAAAATAAAATGTCCTTTGAGGAAACTAGGTTCTCTTTTTTCACCTTGAGCTCTCACATACTTCTATCATCTAAGCCATCCACTGTACGGAACACAATTGTCATTTACCCTTGTGGCCACAGAGATGAGAGGGCTGGAGTGCTGCACAGTTGAGAGTGGGACAGTTCTGTGCCCCTCTTGGCACTGTGCCTGGTGTGGCTCTCTCAGGTCTCTGTTTAGAGTAACTCCAAGGCTTGGAGAATCCTTAAAGACTGCTGGGCCAACTTTAAAGAACACAGTGTCCCTCACACACTTTGGGTATGCAGCCTACTGAGTTTGGTCAAATACCAAAACATCTGATAATAAAAACACTGGTATCTATCAACATTGGCTAAACAGAAAAACTTATCTCAATCTGAGAAGCAGCTAGATAGGCTATTAAAGGGAAATTTCAGGTACACTGGGTGAGGATGGGTGGTCAGCAATATTTTCCCGACTTTGCTCAGGCTAAGAATTACCTACATGGAGGCTAATGGCACACACATATCTTTCAGCTGAGTGGAAGGCCTGGGAAACCCCCATGCTGAGCCAAGGTGATTCCTATCTTTAGGGAACTTTAAAACACCACTGCGGGGAATCTCTAGGCCTAATGGCCAGGGCCCATTAGGATTGCTTCACAGTAAGGTATGCCCTTTCTGACTCCAAGTTTTGCCCAAGTCTTGGCAAGTAAGAAGGGGAGACACCAGGGTGGCACCTGTGGCTCAAGGAGTAGGGTGCTGGCCCCATATACTGGAGGTGGTGGGTTCAAGCCCGTCCCCGCCAAAATTGCAAAAAAAAAGAGAAGGGGAGACACTAGCTCATACCTGGTAAACTGCTGGACAGGAGTCCAGTCTTTGGCATCAGGGAAGCAGAACTGGGGAATAGCCTTCAGTTGGTCCTCAGCCTCTCTCAGGAACTTAAAAGACCTTTCCAACTGCAGGGAGAAAGTGAGAGAAAGTTCAAGAATAAACGCTGGCATGGGAGAGAGAAGCAGATGATGGTAAGGATCACATCACCTACCTTTCTACAGCTGTGACTCCCACCTCCCCCTCTTCCCTTGGGAAGGTTTGCAGCTCAGCTTCCAAGGCCTTTCCCTCCAGGGCACTTCTAACTATAGTCTTATGGGAAAAGTTATGAAGAAAAAATAGTATGCCTTAGAGAAGGGTCCTCTGTACCTAATATTCAGAAATAAAGGCTTGGCGCCTGTAGCTCAAGTGGCTAGGGCGCCAGCCACGTACACTGGAACTGGTGGGTTGGAATCCAGCCCAGGCCTGCCAAACAACAATGACAACTATAACCTAAAAATAGCTGGGTGTTGTGGCAGATGCCTGTGGTCCCAGCCTTTTGGGAAGCTGAGCAAGAGATCACTTAAGCCCAAGAGTTTGAGGTGTGAGCTGTGATGTCATAGCACTCTACCCAGGGTGACAGCTTGAGACTCTGTCTTAAAAAAAAAAGAAAAGAAAAGAAAAAAAGAGAAATACAACTATTGTGATCATTAAGGAAAAAGTGCCATGGGTCAGCTGCGGAGGCTCACACCTGTCATCCTAGCACTCTGGGAGGCTGAGGTGGGTGGATTGGCTGAGCTCATAGGTTTGACACCAGCCTGAGCAAGAGCAAGACCCTGTCTCTAAAAAATAGCTGGGCATTATGGCGGGCACCTGTAGGCTCAGCTGCTCGAGAGGCTGAGGCAAGAGAATCGTTTGAGCCTAAGAGTTAGAGGTTGCTGTGAGCTATGATGCCACAGCACTGTACTTGAGGGCAACAAAGTGAGACTCTGTCTCAATAAATAAATAAATAGGCTTGGCGCCTGTAGCTTAAGCGGCTAAGGCACTAGCCACATACATCAGAGCTGACAGGTTCCAGTTAAGCCCGGGCCTGCCAAACAACGACAACTATAACCAAAATATAGCTGGGCATTGTGGCAGGCGCCTGTAGTCCCAGCTACTTGGGAGGCTGAGGCAAGAGAATGGCTTAAGCCCAAGAGTTGGAGGTTGCTGTGAGCTGTGATGCTATAGCACTCTACCCAGGGCGACAGCTTGAGGCTCTGTCTCAAAAACAAACAAACAAACAAATAAATGGAAAAACTGCCCTTGTATCCCTTCCATATATGAGGCTCTCAAATTTGGAAGACAGAGCCTCTAATCAGGTCTTCTAATCTTTGGGACCAGGCATAGAATATTGTAACACTGTTTGTGAATACATAAATTATATTATTCTGGCTTGGTGCCCGTAGCTCCATGAGTAGGGTGCCGGCCACATACACTGAAGCTGGCAGATTTGAGTCCGGCCCAGGCCTGCTAAACAACAATGACAACCACAAACAAAAAATAGCTGGGTGCTCTGGTGGGTGCCTGTAGTACCAGGTACTTGGGAGGCTGAGGTAGGAGAATCACGTAAGCCCAAGAGTTTGAGGTTGCTGTGAGCTGTGATGCTACAGCACTCTACAGAGGGTGACATAGTGAGACTCTCTCTCAAAAAAAAAAAAAAAGAAAAAAACGTTTAAAAAGAAGAGAAGAGAGGGCAGCGGCTATGGCTCAAAAGGGTAGGGTGCTGGTCCCATATGCCAGAGGTGGCGGGTTCAAACCCAGCCCCGGCCAAAAGAACTGCAAAAAAAAAAAAAAAAAGAAGACAAGAGAGAAGGAGCAAGGGTGCACAGGCAAGGAGATATAAAATAAGTCAGTAGCACCTGTAGTCCCAGCTACTCAGGAGGCTGAGGCAGGAGGATCACTTAAGCCAAAAAGTTTGAGGCTATCTAGGCTATGCTCACAACACTGCACTCTAGCCCAGGTGGCAAGGGAAGACACCATCTCTCTCTCTTTTTTTTTTTGAGACAGAGTCTCAAGCTGTTGCCCTGGGTAGAGTGCTGTGGTGTCACAGCTCACAGCAACCTCCAACTCCTGGGCTCAAGTGATTCTCCTGCCTCCACCTCCCAAGTAGCTGGGATTACAGGCGCCCCCCCCCCCCACAATGCCTGGCTATTTCTTTTTGGTTGTAGCCATCATTGTTGTTTGGTGGGCCCAGGCTGGATTCGAACCTGCCAGCTCAGGTATATGTGGCTGGTGCCTTAGCCACTTGAGCCACAGGCGCTGAGCCTACATCTCTCTTTCTCTTTTTTTTTTTTAGAGACAGAGTCTCACTTTTTCACCCTTGATAGAGTGCTGTGGCATTGCAGCACACAGCAACCTCTAGCTCTTGGGCTTAGGCGATTCTCTTGCCTCAGCCTGCTGAGTAGGCTGAGGGACTACAGGCACCCTCCACACTCTGGGCTATTTTTTGTTGCAGTTTGACTGGTGCTGGGTTTGAACCCGCCGCCCTTGGTATATGGGGCCGGCACCCTACTCACTGAGCCACAGGCACTGCCCCTCCATCTCTTTTTTTTAAAAAAAGATCTAAGAAGACATGTAAAAATAGATGATCACCACTGCGTTAAAAAAGAAATCTGCCTTGACAGTTGAGCCTTTATTGAGTGTCATTTTATTTTAGGTGCCATGATTTTACACGTAGTAAAGCCAAATCCACATGGCCAGGAACCACGACATAACAAGACTCTCCTGCACACATGCAGGTCCACAGAGCACAAGCAAATGTTTAATGTGGACACAAATGTGATGCCACTTAGCTTGAGGGGAAAGAAGCGTCTAAGAAGGGCTGGGAAGAGATGTCGCTGGCTGGATAAGGAGATGGGGTGAGGATAAAGAGGATGGCACGGTCAGCACAGTGACCACAGGAACTGGGAAAGGATTTCTGCCCAAACTTTGAGTCTCTGAATATCTCTTCCCTGGGACTTCCCAAATTGTCCAGCAATAGAGTTTTTTTTGTTTTTTGTTTTTTTTTTTCATGATAGACCCTGATTAGGACCTGCTTTCAACATTCTAGACATGAGGTGTTCCTCAGACTCCCTAAATCCAGGAGTCCCAACAAGTTTATAGCAGGTTTCTATAGTCCCCTGGCAAGCCCCAGGGGCCGGGCCACCCTGTACCTTCACGGGGAACTGCTGGGTGAGTTCTGGCACATAGGCAGCTCCGGCCTGCTTCTTGTGCAAAGAAACGACCACAAAGTACTCAAAGAGCTGCCTCTCCTGGTACTCGATGAGCTCCCGGTCAAGTGACGGGTACCGTGGGGCCTGCTTCAGCCGGGACTTCACGTTGACCAGGCGTTGGCTGTGAGCTGCGGCGGTGGGGAGAGATGGAGAGCCCACAGTGACTCACGGACCAGTGCAGGACGGCACACAGAGCTGCAGCATGTCACGTCATTCCCAGCTCAAAGACTTCTTTCTAAACCCAAAGATTGTTTCTATATCTAACAATTAGTAGAGAACTCTTAATTTGGGATTCTTGCCAAATTTCTGGGAGGAGCAACATTCGGTAGGCTGCCAGGCCATCAGAGTGTAGGAGCCTGGCACTGGGGGACTCCGAGCAGGGGACTCTGCTGGGCCTTGGTTCTGCTGTTGAGCCTCTCCTGGCCTCCCTCTGCCTTCGGGGGTGGGGACACTGGCTGCTCGCCTCACTGGTTTCTCTCATCTTTCAGTTTGTGTCATGTGACAGAATCCAGGCCATGGAACTTTTGGAATTGGGAGTTTTGCAAACATTCCATGTGACTCAAATGGCAGAGACCCGACTAACTCAGGGAGTCCACCCCGCCCCCCCAACTCTGCAGTGGCAATAGCCAGGCTTCATCCTGGAGGAGGGCTGGGGGCAGCTGGGTCTGAGGGGCAAACATAGCAGGGTCACTGACTGAACGGACCCCTGTCACCTCACCCAGCAACCCAGGACTTGCTAGCTTTGGCTTCTCCCTGGAGTCCAAAAATTTTTGGAAAACTCTCTAAAGCCTAGACTTAGATCACTGATTTTAGGCCCACAGAGACCCATTATTTCAACAACTTCATCTAACAGATGAGGAACTAGAGGCCCTGGATTGTAAGTGATTGCCTCCAAATGACAGCAATTTGAACCGAAGTGAGGTGAGAGCCCCTGGTCCCTGAGCCCTGAGCCTGCAGAGCCACCCCTCGGAGTACGGATAATACTCAGGACATGGGGGAAGGGTTCGGAGCAGGGCCTGCTGCAGTTATTGTAGCCACCTGCTATTCACAAAGCACCAACTTGGTCCCCTTCTTTGTGAGCCAAACAGAAAGAGCTAAGTGGGAGGCTCAGTGACACATAGTGTCATTCTGGTCATGCTCAAGACCTGCCCCTGAGCACCCTGCGGGCCCCACTGTCCCCTCAAAAATCCATGCCTTGCCCAACAAGCTTGGGCAGGACACTAACGAGGAGAGAGATACATCTTTGTATCTTCCAAGTCACCTGCCTGTGCCTGGCACAGCAATGGGTCTCCTCACCTTTCAGCTTCTCCTCCGTGTCACTGTCAGACTCACTGTTCTCATCTGTCACTAGATGAAAAAAACAATGAAGAAAGTTGCAAAAGTGAGTTCTTCCAATGCAAGGCACTCTTTCTGTGTGGTAGCACAAATCCAAAATTTCTCATTGAGAGGGGTGTTTTGTGGTCTATTTCAATGTAATGGACAAACTATGACTGTCCAACTCAATGTATTTCCAAATTAATCTGGCTCTGGTTAAGATCGTACTTACACAAAATACGACAGCAAAAGATCCTGTCCCCTCTGGTGTACAATATGCCAGGCGGCCTCCTCCCACTCAGGGGAGGAAGCCGGAGGAACCTCGTCCCTGGTGGAACTCGCCAGCCCCAGGGACAGTGAGAGATATTTACAAAGCACCAACTTAGTCCCCTTCTTTGTGAGCCAAACAGAAACAACAGAAAGCAAATTCTAGGAAAAATCTCTTTTCACATTCTTGGGGAGGAGGGGTGGTGGCATCAGGGTTCTACCTTTTCCTGAGTTGCTCTCCGTGGACTGGGACAACCTCTTCACCCGTTTCTTTCCTCTCCGGGCCTCATAAATGGCATTGATTCGCAACACCAGCTGCCAGACACCAGGAGAAGAACAGCCCACGTTAGCAACCCCCTCCCCATGTGCAGCTGAGCTTCCCTGCTATCCACTCCCTCCTGGGGTGACGGAGGGCCAGGGAATGGGGGAGCTTGGAACACTTGGCAGTGGCTCACAGCATTTTTCATTCTTTTCATACAAGAACGTGACCGTCAAGAAAACTAAGGGAGGCTGCGCTCACCATCCTGGGCTGTTGTCTAAATGTGCTAAGGAACACTGGAGGCGACTCTACCAGATCACGACATGATAGCTGCTCTCCCTCCGACAGTACGATGTCAATGTGGCTCGGGAAGGAGCTTTTGCTCCAAAACAAAACAAGAAAAACAAAGAGACAGAAAATAAAAGTTCCCAGGCAGGATCCCTTTCATGGGAACAATCCCAAAGAATGTTGGAAGAGCCCAGAGAGGAATGGGGACAGGGATCGGGGCAGGTCCTGCGCCCTGGCTGGGGAGTACAGGGACTGGCCGCGCACCAAAGCTGCCCCTGTTTGCAGGGCAGCACCCACGCCAGATCCTGTGGGTGATCCATGTCTTTTTTTTTTTTTTTTTT